TAACGAGGGGCTAAATCATTTATAATTTTAAAGGTGAGCAACAATATTTCAAATTCAATGCGATATTTTATGGGTAACCAATGCAAATCAATAAGAACTGGGGTGATAGAGGCATGCACCCCAGTTCTTATTGACTCTAACCCCTTAACCCCCGTACAGCCTTTAATAATTTGGGTTTTTTTGTTTGTTTCTGCTACCTTCTCCCACCCTGTACGTGATTCCTCAGTCTGTCCCGTTTAGACATGAAAATGACTCAGATGAAGATCTCACCGTTCTCCTCCAGATTTATATAAAGTTCCTTTAAACACTGTTAAAACAAAACGTGTCCAGTAATCTGGAAAAATCTTGCCAATAAGCTTTTGTATCAGATCAATATTAGATTATATTTGTGTGCCTGCGAAGCTTGGCACAAACACAAGCACTTGGCTTTACAGTGGGAGTCACTGAATCAAGACAAACCTGCTTACACATATTTTAAATACACAATATGCTAAATTTTCAGTGTGAATTCACAAACATTTTGCTGCTATATGTTTGGAGATGTTTGCAAATGTGATATCAGTGCAAACGTGCAAATCTGAACTCTTCTCCCATCACGCTGCAGGAGTTAAATGTGACCGTGCATCGCTTTAGCATTTACAGAATACTGCGTGCGTAACTGTAATTCTTCCCGTCAAACTCCTACGCTGCATATCCAGTGCAGTAGGAGAGCAGCCTCATTCATGCTCGCATGCTTTCATCAGTAGGAGTTTCAGTATGCAGCTGAAGCAGAGGGTGCAATTTTCTGAATCCCTAAGCAGCCAGAGATGACAAAGATATTGTTGTATCCCGTCTGAGACGTGCTGACACTTTAAAGGTTCAGCTGTACAATCAGACACTGTGCCGCTCTGTGGAGAAGGAAGGCTTACGGATCACAGCACGGGTGACATTTACATTTGCAGCACGAGGTAAAATAAAGCGAACAAAAAAGACAAAAGGTCGCGATTACGGCTGCCGAGTGAGGAGA